TGGTGGCTCAAGTGGTTAATGACGCTGAACTGCAGACCGAAAGGCTGGTAGTTCAGCAGTTCGAGACCCGAGTGCCACATGACGGAGTGAGCGCCCGTCTCTGGCCCCAGCTCCTACCAAACTTGCAGTTCGAAAGCAAGACGTTGCAAGTAGATAAATAGGTACTGCTTCGGTGGGAAGGTAACAGCCGGACACGTGACGACGGAAATGTCTCTGGACAGCGCTGGCTCTTCGGCTTGGAAACGGAGATGAGCACCGCAACCCTAGAGTCGGATTCGACTGGCTTTTGAGCAAGGGAAACCTTTACCTTTTACTATTAAAGCCTAATCCCTTCCAAAAGATGTAACTTTCCCTTTGTCCTTCTTCCAGAGAGTCTGGGGTCACACACACAGCTTCCTTTACAATGCTATTGGATAAGTTGGGCTGAGAGGGGTAACTGGCCCAAAGTCACTTAGCGAGCTTCACAGCAGAAGGTGGGGTCTGAATGTCGGATTCCCAAGTTCTACTTTAATCACTGGCTCCCTCAGGCTTATGTCTAGTAGATGGGAATTTCACAATCATATGGCAACTCATGACAGTGCCATCTTTTACACTCTTAAATGTTCTAAGGGGACATGGACCACATGGCCTCGTCTGTGGTTGCACCCCATCCCTTCCCAAGCGATGTCACAAAAGTCTGTCCCTATTTGCTCAAGCTTCTGGCAATCAAGAATTATTCCCCACCCCCTTTACGTATCTTTGTTATGCCATTACTAGTTTCATTTCATGCTTCTGGTCTTTTTTTATGTATATGGTCATTTTAATTGTCGTGATACTGCTTTTATCATTATGGGAGGTCTCCCGGCACATCTGGTGTAGGCCGGTGGCTAAAGAGAATGAGGTGCCAATCCAGGAGGTTGCTGGTTCGAACCTCACCACAGCCACAAACCCTTGAGATAGCCTTAGACCAGTGGCCCCCCAACGTGGTACCCATGATCACTATGGTGCCTGCCGACACCTTTCCCGGCACCCACCAAGCGTTTTTGGAAAGTGGGTGGGGCCAGCTTGGGCACGTGCTTAAGGCTTCTGATGGGCCACTGTACATCAGAGATTGGCCAGGCAGATTAAAATAACACTGTAGCGAGAGCCGCCGCCACAGGGTTGGCTTTATTCTCTGTCACTCCTCTTTTCCAGTGTAGTTTTTAAATTCTCTCCCCCCCCCCCCCCCCCCCCCCCCCCCCCGTCCCCTACACCTGAGCTTCCTCTGAGTTTGGCTCCGCTTCCAGCAGCCATTTCGTGTTTCCACCCTGTGTCATACCTGAGGGACTGCCTTTCCCCATGTGCTCCCCAGAGAGCACTGCAATCGGGGGGGGGGCAGAACCGACTGCCCCTCCCGAATCTTGAGGAAGCCAGGCTGGCAGCAATGAGGGCCCAGGGCCTTCTTGGTGGCAGCTCCTCTCTGGTGGAATGAGCTCCCAGAGGAGGTCTGGGCCCTGTGGGACCTTCTGCAGTTCCACAGTTCTGCAGTAAAAGACAGGGCCTGTAAAACAGAGCTCTTCCACCAGTCTTTTGGAGCTGCCACTACTGTTAATAATTGACAGCTGAGGGTTAGAGAGCCCTGTTTCCTCCTGGAATTTCTAACAACTGCCTGAGCTAGCCGCCGAAAGGACAATCAAAAGAAGATCGAGGAGCCGACTGTAAGAGAGGGCAGCCATTATGAAATCAATGGCACTAGCACTTTACTATGTTGTATGGTCTAAATGGGTTTAGAGTTGTTTCAATTTAGTTTATACCTTATGCTTTACTGTAAACGATGTGTTGATTTTATGGAAGCTGCCCTTGGCTGGGAGGGCGGGGTAGAAATTCAATAAATAAATAAATAAATCCCAAAGATGCTTCTGGACTCAAAAAGGCTGGGGACCCCTGCCTTGGACAAACCATTCTCTTTCACCCTCTGTCGATTCATCCATAAACTGGGAATGATAATACTGGCCTGCCATACAGGGCTGTTATGAGGATTATAAACTAACACATGTGAAGCACTTTGAAGAGTGAAAGCGAGAGATAAAATATTAGGCGGAAGAGGCAGCATATGTTCTTTAAAAACAGAAGACGTTTTCATGGACTAGAGTCCACGCGTCCTCAGTTGTTAGTCTCATAAGGAGAAAAGGGGAGCAGGGAGTGAAATGCAAGATGTACAGTTCTGTGACATTACGGTAAAGCTCAGAGTGTCCAAATAACCACCTGGAGAACTGCGTGTATGCACAGTCAACCTGGTTTATTTGTTCTTAACAAAACAGGATCCACAGAAGATACAGTGCACAAAAACAGGATTATACAATAGATTCCTCCCCCCCCCCTTATAAAAAACAATTGCATTGGGTACGTTCTGTAGCCCGTGTGTTTGCATCTCACACAGGGCACAATACATTATCCACAGGATCGTTAGGCGGGAGATTGGAAACCAGATGTCACAGTGGCGTCGAGACAATTAGAATGGAAGGAAAGTTTCAGAAGCTCACAGACGTTCGAGGTCCGGTCTATACTGGAACAGTGGACACCCAAGAGTGTAATGCATCGGAGGAGCTTCTGGATTGCGGCGCTACGAGGAGGCGGGTGCTCAGCCTCGCTCCTGAGCACCGCCGATGGTTCGTTGCTTTTATTGGAACTCTGGGTTTTCCGAGTTCCACCAGATCTCCCGGAGAGAGGTCTGGAGCAGGAGAGTTGATCTGAGCCCCCCACGAGTGGCTGCGAGTGGGTAGGAGCCGGATCGACTCGAAGCGAGAGCACGAACGAGCGCAGTCAGGGTCCGCCATGACCGCTTAGTGGTGAACGCCCGGCAAAGAGAGCACCATACCTCATCTCCAACATCGATGAAGAGTGTGACGCATCGGTGTCGTCATTTTCAGTCTCAAGTTGGCATTCGATGTGTTTATGGTTTGGCTCCGTCACAGAAGCACTGGCAAAAAAATGTTTGGGTGTCTTCAAGTGTCCTCAGAAAGAGATAACGGTTTGCCGTTAGAGAGGAGTGGGCAAGAGGGATTCCTAACCCGACAAGCTCTTCCTGCACGGGGAAATCAGTTGCGAATTTGAGACCTTTGATTAAAGACTACCATGGGATTCCTACAGCTCAGATCTAGTGGTCATTCACAGTTTCAATTACATGGTCTTCCCTCCTCCTGAAAGAATAGTGGGTAAAGGCAGACACCGAGAAGTCCCCCTGGACAGCCCCTCAAAACTACAGATCCCAGGTTCCCTTAAAGAGAAGGAATTTCAAGACTAAATTGTCTGGGACGGAGATATGCTCCATTGCCTTCCACCATGGCAAATGTCTGGGAGAACGTCCCAGTGGACTTCCCAAGACTGCAGCAGATTGGAAGAGGCAATCCTTTGGACAAGTCAAATGTTCCATCCCTGTCAATCACTACAGCCAACCCAAGCCTGCAGGTTGTTATTATTACAGAGGCCATGTGACACCGAATACACACGAGTCTCTGTGATCCTTGTGAAGACAACCTTTCATCAACCTCTTGGTCAGATCATCTTGAAAACTCCTTTCAATCAATGATGAAGGTCCCCACCCCCAGATCTTTAACCAGACAGTTTCCCTGCCTAAAAGCAATGCCAACTTAGAAGAGGCATTCTATCTTAGAAGAGGCATTCCCTCACAAAGGAAGGAATTCTTCTTCTACAGCCCTGAAACACGTTATTGTTCTCTAAGTATACACTTTATAGGATTTTTTTTTTTTGCACTTTCCTTTGCAACAACGAGCAGTGATTGCTAAGATATATGAACTCAGACTGAGTCAGACCCTTGGCCTCTCCAGCTCAGTACTGCCTACTCCGGCTAGCAGCAGCTTAGACAAAGAAGCGCCTTTCCCAACACAACACGAGACTACACAAATAGATGGCTTCAGAATGGCCGGAATGTGCAACAGCGTATTGCTCCGAAATAAGTAAAGCCGACAAATAAAATGACATAGAAATTTGTAATTTTGTGGGAAAAGCACAAAAAATCTGGGCCGGGCTGCAGGATCCACCTTCTACAGAAGGTCAGCTTTTATCCTGAAACAAACAAAATAAGGTTCCTAGTCCTCATGGCTGCACCCACGTGTTCGAGAGCCTGGGAAACAGCCAGAGGAAAACTGCCGAATAAGGGGTGTTGTAACCAGAGGGCACGACTGCCCCGTCCGACAAAGAGCTTTGCTGTTCTCCACGCGGAGTATAAACAGGAGGAGAAATAATGTGAATCGCAAAGTCAATCGTGAGCCATCATGCACATTACCGCAATTCAGTTTACACACGCTGTAAAATTCAGCAGAGAGTTTTTATTTCATTTCCAGTGTGGCGCACGCACGGCCCTGCCTCCTAGTCCTCACGAAGGGGGATATCATGGAATGCCCCCCCCAAAAAAAAGTTGGAATGGGCAAAGTCTAAAGCGGCCCACGGAATCAGAGGACCAGAATGGTCTGGGTAGTCATCACATCCCTCCCTCTCCACATCGACACATTGGCTCCACAGACCTTTGTCCACCTTACTTAGTGGTTTGCGTCACTACACAAAGGAGAACTGGGGAAGGTTCCCTAGGCTCCCCAAAGCACCTAAAGAAACAGCAGCTCAAATGTGGTCCAATTACAGTCCCCGAGTGCCACATTCAGCCCAGGAGACCCTTTCCCTCAGGCATCCAAGCTGCTTAACCAACTGTCGGGGCCATCAGGCCTGGACAAAAGAGACTTGCAGCTCTATATAAGCTATATGGGGGATTGGAGAGAGAGACCTTAGCCCACCAGGTCATACCAAATCTCACCCAGGCATTCTAGAATCTTGCATGCCAGCCTGAAAACCAAAGCGGCAGCAAGAACATCCCTGCCATATATATATATATATATATATATATTAAAAAAAGAATATCCAACAACTGCCTCTGTCCTCTTTGCAATATCTTCACTCAAAAAAATGTCTCAGTTCCTCATATCAAAACAGTTAAGCGCTGAAACACCTAAGCGCTGTAAGGACCCCGCAGCAATTGTGTCATAACCCCTGGCTCCAAGAGTCAGTTATTTATTGCATGCCTACATATCATATTTTTTTAAAAAAAATTCAAGTTATTCACCCTCCCGTTCCCTGCTGCATGTTACTGCCCACCCTTGCTCTAAAAACACATTATGAACCTCGGTTCAAGGGGACACCGAAATCGACTAGGGGATGTGGGGGAATCCGCAGTTAAAACTGCTGGTGTCATGTCATCAATGGTGAAATGTCTTCAGTGGGTGCAGCCCAGAGAATTAGTGGTATCCGTTCCATCAATGCGAAGCTTTGGTCCATCAGGGGATTCGAACGTGGGTGGGCGGATGTCTTCAGTGGGTGCAGCCCAGAGAATAGTGGGTTTTGGGGGGGGGGGGACAGATTTGACACATAATGAGCTAGTGGTTAGTGTGTCGTTGCCCCTCACCCTGGATCCCTTTTGCTGGTTCGACTTCCAGGAGGTACTCCGGACATCACCTTGGAACTCTGGACCTTCGGTAATAGTCGACGCCAGCCAGGATGCAAATCGAAGCTGACCAAGTGCCTTAGCGCTTCCAAAACAGTGCCACTTTGGCTCACGTACACAGTGGGGAAAGTCTAACTGCTTCCGTGTCTTGTGGCGTGCATGCAGTGTGACCGAAAAAGGCCACTGCATCTCACACTGCTTTGGTGGAGGGTTTGGACCAAAAGACCCTTACCTATTTGCATTGTGCCTGTCAGAGAGGAAAGAGTCAAGCTCGCTTCTCGACAATTCTTCTGCTTTGTTTCCGTTTCTCAAAGAACTCCCGGCTGGATTGTCCTCCGTTGTACTCTAATGCAAGATGTCCTCCCCTGACCCCACCCTGTCTCCAGACTGTGAGTACAATGGCCCCCGGTGCAGCCAATCACTGGGATAGCGGTCTTCCAAAAACAGAGTTCCACCACGGTGATCGAGCACAATCTCATTCGTACGGCTTTAAGTCCTTGGCCATCAGAGGCTCGGTGTCTTCGTTCTTGCCCTGGGGAGACTGAAGCGTCGATGCCATTGCCAGGCCCTGGATGGTCTCTTGCTGGTGCTGCTTGGCCTTGTTGTAGAGCAGAACCCCGATTGTCACCAGAACCGTTCCGATGGCCGAGAGGCTGGTGATCTTGTTACCGAACACGATAATACTTAGCCAGATGGACAGCGCGTGCTTCACCGTACTGGCGACGCTGAAGAACGAGAGAACGGTTCATACAAAACGTTAATGACAGCTATCATCCCACCAGCAAAATCGCAGTCAATTATAGGTGCACATTTGTCGATTATAGATGCACGTTTAAGTCAATTATAGATGCACGTTTAAGTCAATTATAGATGCAAGTTTAAGTCAATTATAGATGTAAGTTTAAGTCAATTTTTTTTTGCTGACTCATGGCAACCCCACAGGGTTTTCAAGGCAAACGATGTTCAGAGGTGGTTTGCCATGGCCTGCCTCTGTGTCACGACCCTGGTATTCCTTGGCGGTCACCCTTCCAAATACTAGCCAAGGCCAACCTTGCTTAGCTTCCGAGATCTGACGGGGTTAGGCTATCCTGGGCTATACAGGTCAGGGCAAGTCAATTATAGAGCAACTTTAAGTCAAGTATCGATAGAAGACCTTAAATTTGTACAAATTTCCATATGCATAAAAATGGGGGGGGCCCTCTTTTTTTCCCTGCTGTTGAATGAGGCACACGTCACAACAGAAGCCATCTTAGAAGAAGCTCCACGCCTTCCAAGGTGTAAGAAAAGGGAAAAAAGGAACACCTCTTCCAAGACGGATCTAAATTAACATACAATTGTTTCTAGAGGGTACCTGCAGGCATGTGAAATGTCCAGAGTCATATCAGAAGAGGCGTTATTTCCACTCCAAAGAAAGCCTTTGTAGAGCCAATGTGGTCTAGTGGTTAAGAGTGCCGTACTAGTATGTGAGAGACCCAAGTTCGAATCCCCGCTTGTGCCATGGGAACTCACTCAGCCTAACCTACTTCACAGGGTTGTTGTGAGAATAAAATGGAGGAGAGGAGAATGGGGTAAGCCGCTCTAGGTCCCCTTTGGGGGAGAAAGGTGGGGTATAGATGAAATAAATTAACATTTGTATTCGGAGGGCTATTTCCTCCTGCATGAACACATCTTCAAGGACAGTATCTGCTGTCTGCATTTTAATATTTTTTTGTACATACTTTGCACATAATGAAGCCATTTGTTTTTAAAAAAAACAAACCAACCGGCTGGCCTGTTTATTTGGAGGACATTTTAAATAGATCAGCGGGCCAACAGTCAGCTTCGATGGTACAGCCAGTTCTTAAAATCCACACCACACCCTTTAACGAGAGAGGGCCTGAAGCGCTTTCCCTAATCAAACTGGGCAACGGGAGTCACCGTGAACGGCTATTTCTTGCTGTGACCACAGATCTGTTGATCTGGAAGGAGATCAACATCTGGCCAACAGCTGTTTTCACTATTCGGGAGGTTCTTTGGTGAGCTTAGAAATCAGGGGAGGTTTGTTGTTTTGTTCTCGGGAGTTGTTGTTTTTTGGCCAGGGGCACAGCCAGATCTCATTTTGACACCCACCCGCCGCTGCTGCTGCTGCTGCTGCTTCTTTTTTTACCTAAAAGTCACTGGGGAAATTTTGCCCATCAGGGCATAAGCAGTAACACTCTGAAGATGGAACAGGACTCCATCTATCAGGAGCAGCACGACGACGTCCTGATTGTAACGGAAGCTCCTTCCACTCTTCCCAATGACCGGCACATCCTAAAAGGAAACGGAAATCCATAAAGGCAGAAGATCCCGGCAAAGGAAGAGGGAAGACCATGCCCTTCCCAGACTCCAACCACTCCAAAACTCCAGGTGTTTCCCAACCCAGAGGTGGCAACAACATGTAAAAAGCCGTGAGGAAACAACAGAGGAGAATCGGCCTCCGTGCCCCCACAACGGGCCTTCGAGGGCAGCTGGCTTGCGAAAGTGAATCTTGCAGTGTCGCGACTATCCTTTACGCTCCTCCAGCCCCATCTTATTTATTGTTTCTGCCCAGCCTTTGATCCCTTTATTCTCAAGAGCACTGCTGCCAGAACGCCCACAAGAAGATTCAAAATCAACCCAGCTCTCCTGGTGTTTAGGTTGGTGCTCCATCAAGGGGTTTTTTCACCAGCTTGCTTCTGCCAGGCAGCCAGCTGCTGATGGAGTCTGAGATGTGAGCAAGGGGCCAGTAGAAAATTAGACTGGACCGGCCGACCAAAAGAGGTCTTTGTCTCTTTCCACCTTCTACAGGACCGGTGACTTCTGATGAGCCTGAGAAGGCGAGGGCCAGGTGGCTGCTGGACCAAGCAGGTCAATGCAAGGGGACTTTGGATGCGGCGATGGCATCTTTAACTTGAAGTTAGTCTGACCGGCCTGCCCCACCCACCCACCCACCCACCCGAGGGATGCCTGGGAACCTGGACTTTGCCATTAAAATGAAAAGGACCAAAAGAGGCTACCCCCTCCCCCATCATATCTGCATAAGATTTCACTTTTTGGAAGTGTCAGTCTTGGCTAAAAGACAGGGGGTATAAAGATACCCCCCAGGAGTTCCACAAGCACAACACACAGCCAAGACCCCTCTGATATTCAAACATGGAAGCTCCATTTATCAATAAGTATTTGAGAACTGCCTTGCCGGATTAGAACAAAAGTCCACCTAGTCCAGCATCCCGCTTTCTACAAAAGCAACCAAACGCCCTCCAGGAGTCCCACAAGCGCAATACGTAGCCTTTTGGTTTTCAGAGATATACTGCCTCTAAATATGGAGTCTCCATTTATCTGTAAGTATGTAAGAACGGCCTTGCTGGAGGTCCTCTAAGCTGTGGGGAGGTGTGGGGGGGAGAAGATTGAGGACAAATCTCACCATAAAAAATATCCATGCTGGAATAAGCATGATCACAGCAGCCGCGCTGGTGTAGAACTGAAGTTCCGGTGCTCTGTTGAAAAAAGGGAAGGGAGGGGGGTTAGAAAGCATTTGCATGAAAAATCACAGCTTAAAAAGGTAAACTGGAAAAACAACTGATTTGTGAAGCATTAGGTAAAGGTTTCCCTTGCTTGAAAGTCAGTCAAATCCGACTCTAGGGATGCGGTGCTCATCTCCGTTTCCAAGCCGAAGAGCCAGCACTGTCCAAGGACGTTTCCATGGTCATGTGGCCGGCATGACTAGATGTCAAGGCGCACGGAATGCTGTTACCTTCCCACCGAAGCGGTACCTATTTATCTACTTGCAATTTCTTGCTTTCAAACTGCTAGGTTGGCAGGAGCTGGGGCCAGAGACGGGAGCTCACTCTGTCACGCGGCACATTCGGGTCTCGAACTGCTGAACTACCGACCTTCCGGTCTGCAGCTCAGCGTCTTAACCACTTGATCCACTGCAGCCCTCAAAGCTGGGCTGCTGGAAGGGGTAGTAGGTAATGGTTTATAACTTTCTGGCAAAGGGCTACCAAGAGCTGCACTTGACAACTAGACTGGCCCACCGGTTAACATTAGAGCCGACCTTCCCAGCACTGAATGCCAGATGCCCGACGCAACTCTCGCTTCTCCTAGGAGTGGCTTCTTCTCAGTCAGAAGCCCGCAACGGGGCATGCTTGTACTACTGACCAAGCCCATAGGCAGGATTTTGTGCCTTGTTGGGTAAAAATGTTTCTGGAGGGGATGGTGGGGCTGCCATTATTTTTCTGCCTCTCTCTAAACAACTGTAATAATCATTTTAAGTAACAATAAAGACAACAGTACTACTAATAAATTAAATTAAATGCAGCACAGACACCCCAGACATAAATGAAATGCAAAAATATCCCCTACCCTTCCCCTGCCTAAGGCAATGAAATCCTGTACCATTTCCAGAAGGCAAACTTGTGGGGCTGGCCCTTTAAGGAAGGGGGCGGAGCCCCCAATAGCCCCACAGTGTACTGCAGAGCAGTGTCGTCGGGGTGGGCCGATTAGCCATCCGGAACATCTCGGCCCATAGCACGCCCCCTTTCTTCTGACCTCACTGTGACATATAACAATGAGTGAGTATTGTAATCACCGATGCATTCTATAAGATTGAATTGTGTTTTAAGTGGTTAACTCTGTAATTTTATCGCACTTTGGGTGCCTAAATTGTTTTAATGGTGTTGTATTTTATTGCACTGTTGTGCCTATGTAAGCCGCCCTGAGCCCGCGTGCGGGGAGGGTGGGGTATAAATGTAGTAAAATAAATAAATAAATACGGGCCAGCCACTGACCAACTGCCTAGGAGGAAGGCTGAAAACAGAGCTCGGAGGGGGGGAATGTGGCCTTTGGAGAGGTATGAACAGCCACGTGCCAAAGTCAAGGAATTAAACAAGGTGTCAGGAGCAGTGTTCCCTCTAAGCTGAGTTAGTGTGAGCTAGCTCACAGTTTTTTAGCCTCCGGCTCACACATTTTTGTCTTAGTTCAGGAAGGAGGGCTCCAGAGCAAACTGATTTATGCAGCAGCCAAATCGCTCGCTCAGAACTAGAATCCCAGTAGCTCACCAAGTTGAATTTTTGCTCACAAGACTCCACAGCTTAGAGGGAGCATTGATGAGGACCCACAGTCAAACAACAGAACACACGCTTCTTCGAAGTTTTTAATTTATTGTAAGCACTATGGTAGCAGAGACACAAGCACTTGTTAGGAATGACTACATCACAGAAAGCTGAGAGGGGTATAGGGTATTCGAAAGCACCCCACCACCACCACCTATGGGCCAATCGGCCTGACTCCCACGGGCGGGAAAGAGGACCAAGGCAATTAGAGCCCAGCCTGGGAAACGAAACCAATCTCACTGGGTAATTGATGGGAAGACACTACCCAGGCTGGCTACAAGGTCAGTGATAACGAAGAGAAAGGAATGCAGCAGCAACTGGCACACAGGTCATGAAAGCAAACCCGGCCCCATAAACTATATGGCAGCATAGCTGACACAAGGAAGGGAACACCTGCAGGTGAAACTTCATGTAGCGTCCTTCCTATGGGGGGGGGGCTGTGTTTCCTTTAAATCATACTCTGTGACGTGCTTGCTTTTAGGGGAAACTGTTTTACCTTTAGGGCTGCCAAGCCGCGGCGGGGGATCTGCACGTCTTCACAGGATCCCTGCCACGGGGGACAGCGATACGCGTTGCACCGCCGTCGCCAGGATGTGACGCTACGCGTCGCTCTGGCAACGGGACCCGTTGCCAGAGCGACGCATAGCGTCACATCCTGGCGACGGCGGTGCAACGCGTATCGCTGTCCCCCGCGGCAGGGATCCTGTGAAGACGTGCGGATTCCCCGCCGTGGCTTGGCAGCCTTATTTACCTTTAATTCACACTTTGTATATATAAACTTGGTAGTCTCTGCTGCCACCAGGAATTTAAAATTCCAAATCTCTCTCCTTTGGTAGTGTGGGCACTTCAGAGGTCTATGTGGCCCTGTGGAAGGATTGAACTGAATTCTAGGATATATTTAAACAAAAACGGATTTATTGAAATAAGAACAAAATAGGTTTCTGGAAAAAGGAACTTGTAAAATGTAACTGGCAAGCTTGGTGTCACACCAGTAGACACCAAAATCCCACTCTTACAGGATTCTCTCTCTTTCTCACATATGTAGGCAAACCGGCTAAACTCTTTGACTTTTCCACACAGGATAAAACATTGGTCTAATCACACAGTTTAGACACAGCTTGTTTCTTTTCCTTATAGACTCTCTTACAATACTTTAAGAGTTCCACAGACTCTTTAAAGCTTTTCACACTTCACTCTCCAAAGACACATACACACACTGAACTCTGTCATAAAACACACACACACAGAAATTCCTCTCAGAAATTCCTCCCACACCCTCAGTCATCAGCCAATCACAGCACACACATCTCCCCCTATTGCCCTCCTTGCATTACTGCAGTCAAACTAAAATTTAAAGGAGCACACACACACACATCAAAACAAGGCATCATTACAGTTCAGACCACATTTTTAACCTCCCAACAGCTGCTTTGAAGCTAAAGGCGTTGGGAGGGCTGATCACAGATCTGCCACGGTGGACCTGCTTCATCCCCAAGTTTACACTCAGCAAACCCACCCGAGTGCTCTAGTCTTAAGCTGGTCCTCGTGCAACTATCAACCCGGTTAAATCGGCTTACCGGAACGTCTGCCGCGCCACAAATACTTACGAGAATCGGTACTTGTCTCCACTTAGTAGTTTTTTGGAGAAAACGTTCTGCAAGCTACAAGGGAAGGAAATCGGCATTTATTTCTTTGCGCTGCTGAGAATCTGGGGAAACGGCGAGCTTCCCTTGGCCGTGTTCCCAGTGCTCAGTTTAGCAACAGACACAGGAAGCCGCCTTACATCAAGGCAGGCCATTGGTCCATCTAGCTCTATACTGTCTACCTTGACCTGACATAATGCAAAAGGATGGCTTAATTAAACAAACAATGGTCAGTGCAACTGTCTGAAACGTGGGACACTCCACTAACCGTAGTTTTCTAGGGTCCATCAAACCGAAGTCTAAAACCAAGGTCTCACGTTGGTTTCTTAACCACGCTTAATTATGATTTCACATAATATATCTATGTGGACACCCTGGTTTAATCCTGATTTCTTCCCCGATACTGCCAATGCGCTTGGCTACAGAAATATCTGGGTAGAGGGAAGGGGAGGAAACCAGTCTTTACCGAGGGAAACCAGGATCTGAGAGATCGTCCATAAACTAAATGCTTGTTTCACAAACTAACCACAGTTAACACAAACCGTGGCTTTCGTTTTGTGCCTGAACCAAGCCAAACGTTTGTCTCCCTCTACAGCAGGGGTCCCCAACGTGGTGCCCGTGGGCGTCGCGGTAGCCACTGACACTTTTCCTAGCACCCGCCAAGGGCTTTTAGAAGGTGGGTGGGGCAGAAGGTGGGGCTGCTTCCCAGCAGGGCTTCTAATCAATGTTCCCTCTAAGCTGTGGAGTCTTGTGAGCAAAAAGTCTACTTTCTGAGCACCTGGCATTAAAGTTGTGATTGAGTGATATGGCTACTGCATAAGTTAGTTTGCTCTGGAGCCCTCCTTTCTGAGCTAAGACAAAATTGTGTGAGCCAGAGGCTAAAAAACTGTGAGCTAGCTCACACTAACTCAGCTTAGAGGGAACACTGCTTCTAATTGGCTGTGCAGATTGAAAGGCATCCTGTGGAAGTAAGCTTCTGTCTGAAATGTTGAAGAGCTGCTGTCAGACTTGTATATAACCTTGACCCCTGACATTTTGTGGCTGGCTTCTCCTCCTGCAGCACCCAGTTCTGTGACTGTGCCCACTTCTTTTTGCTGGAATTCCAAAGGTGCACACAGGCTCAAAAAGGTTGGGGACCCCTGCTCGGCAGTCTTTCGGATACTCACCAGTCCATAATGTTTGTGGACAAAGCAGCGGAGAATCCAAGGATATTGAAGCTCAGCTCAGTGGCTGTACACAAAGCCAGCCCTCCCATGACAGGAATGAGCGAAAGATTCACTAGCAGTCCTGGGTAAGTGGGGGGGGGGGGGGGGAAGGAAAGAGAAACTAGATCAGAATAGATTTGGGTGGGTAGCCGTGTGGATCTGAAGCAACAGGACAAAGCTGGAGTCCAGTGGCACCTTTAAGACCAACAGAGTTTTAGTCAACGTATAAGCTTTCGTGTGCAAGCACACTTCTTCAGATACAGCGAAACTGAATTTACTCAACCAGATACATAAAGGAAGAGAGAGGGACAGGGTGGGGGTGCCTCCCCTTCCCATATGTAACGGCTGAGGAAATTTTGTTTCACTGGATAAGAACATAAGAGAAGCCAATGTTGGAGCAGGCCAATGGCCCATCCAGTCCAACGCTCTGTCACACAGTGGCCAAAAATACCAGGGGCCATCAGGAGGTCCATCAGTGGGGCCAGGACACTAGGAGCCCTCCCACTGTTGCCTCCCCAAAGCACCCAAAGAAGACAGAGCATCCCTTGCCCCAGACCGAGAGTTCCTATCTATACCTTGTGGCTAATAGCCACTGATGGACCTCTGCTCCATATGTTTATCCAATTCCCTCTTGAAGCCGTCCATGCTTGTAGCCACCACCATCTCCTGTGGCAGTGAATTCCATGTGTTGATCACTCTTTGGGTGAAAAAGTACTTCCTTTTATCCGTTCTAACCCAACTGTTCGGCAATTTCATGGAGTGCCCACGAGTTCTTGTATTGTGAAAAAGGGAGAAAAGTACTTCTTTCTCAATCTGCTCTATCCCACGCATCATCTTATAGACCTCGATCACGTCACCCCTCAGCCGTCGTTTCTCCCAAGCTAAAGAGCCCCAAGCGCTTTAACCTTTCTTCATAGGGAAAGTGTTCCAGCCCTTTTATCATTCTAGTTGCCCTTTTCTGCGCTTTCCCCAACGCTATAATATCCTTTTTGTGGTGTGGTGAAGAAGCATGCTTACCCACCAAAGCTTATACCTTGAATAAAACTTTGTTGGTCTAAAAGGGGCCACTGGACTCAGTTCAGAACAGATATTTTAAAAAGCAATTGCAACCTGCAGTTCCCTGATGGGAAGGTGAGATAGAAATTTTCCAAATAGCATCAGAACACCTTTGATCTCCAACACATCGCTTTTATTTCCCCCGCTCCCTCCAAGGAGCAGAAGTCAATGTACATGGTTCCCCCTCCCCAATTTTATCCTCACAACAACAGTCCTGGGAGGTAGGCTAGGCTGAGAGACAGTGACCAACCCACAGTCACCCAAGTGAACAGAGAGGGGATCTGAATTCAAGTCTGCACGATACTAGTCCCACACACCAATTGCTTTATTCAAGCCTCCAAGTAAAAAAACACAACACCAGCTGCGAGGCTCACCAGTGTATTCTCCTAAGATCATGCGGGACATAATGACAGTAAAAATGGGCGCGGAGCTTTTAACCGTCTCGGCGAAAGAAACGGCCACATTCTTCAGGCTGACCAGACCTAAAACCACAGTTGCAAACCTGGAGAGAGAGAGAGAGCACGGTAAGGAAGAGGAAATGCAAAACATTTAACACACACGAAAACCCAGGGGTCATTTAGTAGAAAAAGAGGTGCAGGAGATCATAAGCATAACTCATTTGCATATGCCATCCCCCATGACATCGCCAGAAGTGTGTCAGAAGGCAACACCCACTGCTCAGGCTCCACTGGACTTTTGGATTGCTAGCTATTGGGGGGGGGGGAACATGCAGATCTGTCCTCGCAGAGGAGGGAGAGCTTGTACCTGAATAAAACTTGGTCTTAAAGGTGCCACTGGACTGTTTTGGACCGAGGGGCCAGGGGGGGCCTCTGCAACTTACCTGGCTGCTTCTTGCTCTGACTGAGGGCTGCTGGGAGCAGGAGGTGGGGCTTGTTGCACGTGCCCGCCCCCTGGGCTCTTTACTGCCGGAGCTCCGCTCCTGTGCGCTCCTGCAGGAAATGACCCCTGCGTACACCACAAGCCTTTATCATTTCACTTTGTGTGCCAAAGGTCTCTTGTTTCAATGTTCAGCATCTCCAGTTGAGGACCTCAGCTGGGAGCAGACGTGGGAAAAACCACGCCTCTGCCTGAGATCCAGAAAAACCACTACCGGTCAGAGGAGATAATATAGAGCTATATATGGACCAATTGTCTGGTACAAGGAAGGGCAGTGGCTCAGTGGCAGAGCCCCTGCTTTGCATGCAGAAGGTCCCCGGCTCAATCCTTGGCACCTCCAATTAAAATCTCAAGTATTTATTTATTTAATATATTCATACCCAGCCTTTCTCCCGACTGGGCACCCAAAGAGGCTTACATCGTTCTCCTCTCCTTCATTTTAGCCTCACAACAACCCTAGGGTAGGCTGAGACAGCGTGACGGGCTTAAGGCCACCCAGCCAACGCCCGCAGCACAGCCCTGACCTCGATAGCACAGGCTAGCCCAATCTCATCAGATCTCAGAAACTAAGCAGGGTCGGCCCTGGCTAGTATTTGGAAGGGTAACCTGACCTCCGAGGAATACCAGGGTCGTGACGCAGAGGCAGGCAACGGAAAACCGCCTCTGAAACGCCTCTTGCCTTACAGACAAGTCTAGCTCGCCACCTGGTGGTGCATAACACTGAAGGAGCCGGAACTTACGGCTGCCAGACCATCTTAGGATCTCCTGGCTATTCTACACAAAATGGCATAAGATTATAATGATTATCATCCATGGCATGAGCAGAAGTTCAAACCCGGCTCTCCCAGATGCTAGTCCCCCATACTAGTGAGAACCAGCGTGGTGTAGTGATGAAGAGCGGCAGACTCTAATCTGCAGAGCCGGGCTGGATTCCCCACTCCTCCACATGACGCCAGATGGGTGACCTTGGGCCACTCCCAGTTCTCTCCGAACTCTCTCAGCCCCACCTGCCTCACAAGGTGCCTGTTGTGGGGAGAGGAAGGGAAAGGTGACTGTAAACCACTCTGACTCCTTAAGGTAGAGAAAAACAGGGTATAGAAACCTACTCCTCCTCCTCCTACCAACACCATTAACCGATAAGCCACACTGGCTAGGAGGTGTCGAGAAGGACCTTCGAGAGCCTGAGGCCCTGGAGAGCCACCTGTCAAAGGAGACAACACCAGGGCTATTTTTGGGCAGGAACACACAGGAACGGAGTTCCGGCTGGCTCCCAAGTTGGCCACGCCCAGCAGGAACTCATTAGCATAACAGGCCACACCCAACAGCAGGAACTCATTAGGATTGGCTACATTAGGGGGTGTGTGGCCTAACATGCAAAGGAGTTCCTGCTACAAAATAAGGCCCTGGGTTTTGACAACAAACAAGGTAAACAGAATAAGAAGGGAAAGGTGGGTGTGGCTGGATGAGCACACTTCTGGTAACATGGGGGTGCGGCCTAATGTGCTAATGAGCTGTGCTGTCAGGGGTGTGGCCCAATATGCTAATGAGTTCCTGCTGTTGGGTGTGGCCTATTATGCTAATGAGTTCCTGCCGGGCTTTTTCTACAAAAAGAGCCCTGGACAACACTAAGTGAGATCAAATACCGAGCGGCTTCCTCTGGTGGGGAGGGCCTGTTGCGCAAACGCAGGCCGTCCTTTCGGCACGCAGCGGGTTCCAGGTTCTATAACCACCACCTCCAGCTCAAGAGCGAACAAGCGGACAGGCAGCATGGTGCAGGGGTGCAACCAACCCCTGGTCCAGAACTTCGGCTGTCCGCTACACCTGCTGGTTTGTGATTGGGCAGCAATCAGGGTTGCCAACCTCCAGGTGGGGCCTGGAGGCCTCCCACTATTCCAATGGGTCTCCAGACAACAGAGATCAGCTCCCCCTGGAGAAAACGGCCGCTTTGGAAGGTGGGCTCTATGGCATTGTACCCTGCTGAGGTCCCGCCCCGGGCCCCACCCCCTAAATCTCCAAGTATTTCCCAACGCAGAGCTGGAAATTCTAGTAACAGTCAACGTTCCCTCTAAGCTGTGGAGTCTCGTGAGCAAAAATTCTACTTTGTGAGCTCCTGGCATTAAAGTTGTGAACGAGCCATTTGGCTGCTGCATCAATTAGTTTCCTCTGGAGCCATCCTCCCGGGGCGGAGACCAAAATGTGGGAGCCGGAAGCTGCAAAACTGTGAGCTAGCTCACTATAACTCAGCTTAGAGGGAACAGTGGTAACAGTTTCTGTGTGGCTTGGGGAGCGGTGGGGGGGGAGCATCCAAGCGCTTACCTCAGGGGTCGTTTCATAGAAAAAGAGCTAGGGGAACTCATTAGCATAACTCATTAGCATATGCCACACACCCCGACATCACCGGAAGTGTGTCATAAGGCCACACCCCCTGACATCACCGGAAGTGTGTCATAAGGCCACACACCCCGCCCCCAATGGTCCCGACCGCCGCCGGCCTTGCGGCTCCACTGCCGAGCCCCATGAGGGGCCCGGCGGTGGACCTGCAAGGCCGGCGGGAGGGCAAGGAAGCCCCGCGAAGGCCCTGCCTCCTCCTGGCTGAATGAGGGCCGGAATCGGGGCGGCCGGAAGCGGGGGGGGGGGCTTCGTCACGTGCCCCGCCCCCGTACCTCACCCGGGGGAACTGCGATCCCCCGCGATATGACCTCTGGCTTACCTCATGAGCCCGACAAACAGCATAATCATGATGAAGTTGGGAGGGTAGGCGAGGCGCGTTTTGTGCTGATACAAACAGCAGGGGACAAACATCTTCACGCAGCCGATGAAGGTGGTGGAGAGCATTTGGACGGCACCTGGAAAGAGAGTTTTAAAGAAGCGGCGGAATCAGAGAAGGACTTCCAAGGGATCGTGGCCTCTTGCCCGTCATATTACTGACAGCAACAGTACACAGCGTTTGTAAGGCCTTTCGAAGCAGCCAGGGCTGGTGTGGTGTGGTGGCTAGAGGAATGGAATAGGATACCGGGAGGCCCTGGGTTCGAATTGCCCCTTCTACCCTGGAAGCCTGCTGGGTGACTTCGATAACATAAGAACCCAAGATCAGCCCTGCTGGATCAGACCAGTGGTCCATCTCGTCCACATCCTGTCTCTCACAGTAGCCTCGGGGCCCCTCACAAACTCTCACCCTGGCCTCCCTCACAGGGTTGTTGTGAGGATAAAAGGAAGAAGGGGAGAATGGTGTTCTGCGCCACTTTTGAGCCCCAACGGGGGAGAAAACTGGGACAGAAATAAATGCACAAATGCAAACACAAAGCACTTTACAGGCTGCAGTCCTTACAACTTCTCTAGAAGTGGTTCCCCCTTCTCCATGTTACCTTCAACTACTTGTGAAGTAGGTTATTACGAGAGAGAGTGACTGGCCAGTGAGGTTTGACACGGAGCAGGAATTTGAAGCTGGTTCTCTCCAGGCTTGACGCCCTAACCACTGCACTATACTACACCAGTTCTTTAACCTTGTCAAGGGGTGGTGACAATCCTAGATGCAGAATGGAATTGAATCGAGATGGGCCACCTACAGGAATCAGCAGAGAAACCAGTCCCCTCAGCAGTCTACTGGGGATTCCAGCTAAGAATTCTGCTTTTGGTAGATGTCTCATAGGCAGTTTCCTAAGATGGAGCAGCTGTAGACCATCGTTTCCAGAAATCAGGGGCAAAGCTGCTGTGCCACCTATAGGTCCTTTCAAGGCCCACAGGGGCTCATGGCACACAAGACAACCCACGACCGACCCTGAGCCAATCTAGAGCCCGGCAGCTACAAAGGAAGCACAGTGCAAGAAAGTCATGCTCTCTGTGGCCTTCTCTAGGTAGCCCTAGGAAAAGGGGCATAACTGATCCCAGAGACCCCTGGTGTGGTAGAAGTCCACCAAGGGAAATTCTCATTTCCTGCTGGGAGGAGCCCTGAATGGAGAGAACCAGTGTTCCCTCTAAGCTGAGTTGGTGTGAGCTAGCTCACAGTTTTTTAGTCTCCGGCTCACAGATTTTTGTCTTCGCCCAGGAAGGAGGGCTCCAGGGCAAACTAACTGATGCAGCAGCTAAATCACTCGCTCACAACTTTAATGCCAACAGCTTTTTGCTCACAAGACTCCACAGCTTAGAGGGAACACTGGAAAGAACCCTTGATCCTTTAGGTCAGGTGATGCCTTTGGGACTCGAAGGAGAGGGTTATCCTACACTCTGTCCAGTGGAGAGAGGCTGTGGCTTAGGAGCAGAGCATCTGTTTGACACACAGAAGGTCCCAAGTTCAATCCCTGGCATCTCCAGTTAAAAGGATCAGGCAGTAGGTGACGTCAAAGACCTCTGCCTGAGACTCTGGAGAGCAGCTGCCGGTCAGAGTACGCAATACTGACCTTGGTGGACCGGTGGTCTGCAGCTTCATGCAGCTTCATGCATGTGTGGCCATAATTTCAGGAGGGGGAGAAGGGGGCTGTGCTAGATGGGGAAAAGAGTCAGAAGCCACGGACCCCCTGTGCTAAAAGGTCCAGAAAAACCTGCAGCCGTCTCTGTCTCCTTTCCACCCTCTGCAACTAGCAGAAGCAAGAGGGGCTGTGGCTCAGTGGTAGAGCATTCGCTTGGCAGGCAGAAGGTCCCAGGTTCGAACCCCGGCATCTCCAGTTAAAGGATCGGGCAGTAGGTGATGCGAAAGACCTCTGCCTGAGACCCCGGAGAGCTGCTGCCAGTCTGAGTAGACAATACTGACCTTGATGGTCTGATTCAGTATAAGGCAGCTTCATGTGTTCAGGATAATGTAAAATTTGTAAACTACAGAATAAATTATGCAAAATAAGATGGAAATTGACCCAATTAGCATCATATGAGTCACAGAATCAACATTTCACAGAATTCGGGCTGTTGTTTTTTAAATTGTGCGCACACGGCCCAGCTCCACCCTCCAAACTGGGAACGTTAATGCTCACTATTCCATTAGAAGAACCGCAATTACCCAGCATGCTCGGCTCGCCCTCCAGCAGCGAAAGAATGTATTTATTAAGAAAAAGAGTGCAAAAGCTGAAGAAGAACCACAAGCTGAGGTAGATGAGCGCGTGGGAGTTCCAGATGCCCAAGTCCGACTCGATGACAGTGGTCTCGGTGATCGTGATCTTCAAGACGTTCTCTTCCGGCATGCTGTCGCTCCTGGAGATGAAGTACTTCTCACTCCGGTTGTGGAAAAGGGAGCCCAGCTGGAACAGGCCTTTGCTTTTGGGCTTCTCCTCAAGAAGAGGCGAGACGGCCAAAGCAGCATCCTCCGGAGTCTGACCGGCCATCTTGAGGCCCGGATGTCAGTCTCGACGCCACGACCATCGGTCAAAGACAGCTCTTCGCGGTGTGGGAATGGCTCTTCAGCTCTGGCAGGGTGAGCCCCGGAGGTTCTCCTTGCCCGTGGATAACTTCAGGTCCTTGTTCCAGAGAGGAGCTCCATTTCCCGCACAGAGAACTGGATTTAAAAAAAAAAAATCAGAGAAAGAAAGAAAAGAAGGTTAAAGGAAACACAGCTACGGCCCGAACAGAATGTGATGCTGAAGTGCTATGAGCAGAATATGGTATTTAGACTTTGGCTGAAAAACCAAAAAACCAAAGTGAACCGGGGGTAAAGTGCTGAGAAAGAGAGGTGTTAACTAGCGGATAATCCCCGCTAGCACCCCTCCCCACTATCTGCTTTAGGTCCCGATAAGGGGGAAACAACCAGCATTGGTCCCCTTTTCAATTTACAGGAGAATAACTGTGCTTGTGAGAACTTGGATATTCATATTGGAGTGGCAGTGTTGTACGTATGGACAACGTCCTGTCCCCTCTTTGAAAAGCTTTTCGGAAACGGATGTGTAAAGGACGGCAGACTCCGTCAAGGGTGGAACGGGCAGTGTCCTTCCTACAGTCTCCACGCACGCACTTTGAAATTCTATTGTCTGAAAGACTTATTTGCTCTGTTTTGACAACAATGAACTGTTTTGAAAGAGTTAACTGCTGTAGTTTGAAAACAATGAGTTGACAACATTTTTCAACACAGGCACTTGGTTCCTTTAAATATATTGGATGGGAGTGGAAATGATTACGGACTTCAGAATTGTTGTATGAATAGAGTACATGGCTATTAGCGGGGGTCATTTCCTGTGGGAGCGCACAGGAGCGGAGCTCCAGCAGTAAGGAGCCCAGGGGGCGGGCACATGCAACAAGCCCCGCCCCCTGCTCCCAGCAGCCCTCAGTCAGGCCATAAGGAGCAAGAAGCAGCCAGGTAAGTTGCAGAGCACCCCCCCCCCCAGCCCCCCTTCAGGAACAAGCTCTCCCTCCCCTGTAAGGGCAGATCTGCGCGTTCCCCCCCAATAACTAGCAATCCAAAACAGTCCAGTGGAGCCTGAGCGATGGGTATTGCCTTCTGACACACTTCTGGTGATGTCAGGGGGTGTGGCATATGCAAATAAGTTATGCTAATGAGCTCCTGCTCCTCTTTTTCTATGAAATGACCCCTGGCTATTAGTATCTTTAATGTGTTGGATATTTATAATATATTTCTTGTGATTTGTTCATGTTTTTCCCCCCTTGCATTTAGCCCTCAGGTGAGGCCTGGAGACCACCAGAACTACAACTGATCTTCAGACTACAGAAATCAGGTCCTCTGAAGAAAATGGCGGCTTTGGAGGATGGACTGTACGGCATTATACCCGCCGAGGACCCTCTCCTCCCCAAATCTCCAGTGGACTGTACATGTATTCCCCTCCCCCCCTTTTCTTTGACACCTCAACAAGTTATTTTCTCTGCCTCACCTCCTCGGATCCAGAACACCTTACAGGGTTGTTGTACAGGTTGAACAGAAACCTACATCAAGTTCTATAAAGACTAAGTTTTAGAATCGTAGAATCATAGAGTTGGAAGGAACCTCCAGGGCCATCTAGTCCAACCCCCTGCACCATGCAGGAAATTCACAAATATCTCCCCCTCTACACTTCCAGTGACCCCTGTTCCATGCCCAGAAGATGACAAAAACCCTCCAGGATCCCTGGCCAAACTGGCCTGGAGAAAAATTGCTTCCAGACCCCAAAGTGGCGCTCAGTATTTCCCTGGGCGTGTAAGAAAGGGCCACAAGGACTAAGCACTGATGCAACCCTCCCTGCCTTCCCTCTCGTGATCTGCCCGAGTTCACAGAATCAGCATTGCTGTCCGATGGCCATATGACCTCTGTTTGAAAACCTCCAAGGAAGGTTTTCTTATTATCAGCCTTTGCATAGCTATTTTAGTGTATCCATTTAAGACAATTCTATCCTTCATCTCTCAACCAAACAGGTTCTCAAACGCTGCAGTAACTACAGCAAGCAGATAAAACGAGTAAGGTACAAAATACACAGAAAAGCGACTGGCAAGAATACCCAAAAGCTTTTAAAAATAGCAGAAATCTTTAAGGGGGATGGGTTAAAAACAGCAAAAGAAACAGTAAGATCCGACATCTCATAGAAATAATGACATTGTGAAGTATTATCAAACAAACAGGACCACCAGCGTCACTCAACAATTGAAGAGGGTAAAGCATAAAGCCCAGTCGTGAGATACATACATGCACACAAAACAGCAACCGGTCTGGGAGACTCGAGTTCAGATCTCAGTTCCATCACAAAGGTCCCCGGGTGGGTGACCTCAGCTCCGTCACACTCATTTTGATGTTCCTCGCAGAACTGCTGTATGGCTCGAATGAGGGAGGGGAGTAGATCAGTTCGGAGCATAAAGATCCCATTCGAAGCCTCTCTGCAGGCAAGCGATATAGCACGCTGGCTAGAGAGACGGAGCCGCCAGACAGAACAAATTAAGCGATCGAGTTATGAAATATTTACGCCTAACATCGCCGGCTGCTTGAAGCCCGCTGCCTTAAGCACTTAATCAGTTTATTGACCTCCTCAATTGGCTTTAAGTGGAGCGCAAGAGGCAAGCCAGTGTCTCTGTGCCACGTCTTAAGAACGCTCTCTCTGCCAGAATGCACACATGTTTATGTATGGTTTGAAGAGCGCCGAAAAGGACGTCGTGTGGTCGCCGCGCTGGGAGAAGACGAAGGGAGGAGGGGATTCCCATTTGCTTTTACCAGGACAGAGAATTGGGAGTCATATCATTAAAAAAACCCAGAAAATTATGTAAAATGGGGATGCCCCTGAGCTTCCCCCAAACAACTGTGATGTCGAAACATAGGGGGGGGGGGATCACAAAATGACAGAGCAGATCCGACCCGTCGTGGCCTCAAAACTGCCTAAGATGACCAGCCTAGCTGAGCAATATCAACACAAATATGAAGCTGCCTTCTTCTGAAACAGATCACAACAAATGAAGGGGGTTTGCCGTATGACATAAACCAACACAACAGAAATACTGCAAATAGTGCAAATCATGCAAATTCTAATTTGTATTAATGCAACAATATTGAATCCAATCCATTGTACACTTAGGTTTTACAAAAATAAGGACGTCACAAGATGAAATGAAGACGTCAGCAGATGAAACTGGACGAACTCCCCCGGAGTTAACATTCGTTTCGAGGTGGCTTTTTCATACATAAGACCTCATACAGCTGATCAGCCTGGTTTTGATATTATGGCTAAGAGCTGTTTGTGAGTAACTTCAAAACGTATAGGAACAAAGGAAAGTCCAAGTTGGAAGATTCGTGTTCATGTGGATGCACAGCTGTATGAGGTGTTATGTATGAAAAAGCCACCTCGAAACGAATGTTAACTCCGGGGGAGTTCGTCCAGTTTCATCTGCTGACGTCTTCATTTCATCTTGTGACGTCCTTATTTTTGTAAAACATAAGTGTACAATGGATTGGATTCAATATAGTTGCATTAATACAAATTAGGATTTGCATGATTTGCACTATTTGCAGTAGTTTTTCTGAAACAGACCCTGGGCCCAGCAAAGTCAGTATTGTCTACTCAGACTGGCAGCGGCTCTCCAAGGTCTCAGGAAGAGGTCTTTCACATCACAGAATCATAGAGTTAGAAGGGGCCATACAGGCCATCTAGTCCAACAAACTGCTCAATGCAGGATCAGCCTAAAATGTCCCTGACAAGTGTTTGTCCAGCCGCTGCTTGAAGACTGCCAGTAAGGGGGAGCTCACCACCTCCCGAGGCAGCTGATCCCATGGTTGAAAAACTCTAATTGTCAAAAGGTTTTCCTAAGATCCAGCCGGTACCTTCCCGCCCTTCATTTAAACCCATTCTTGCGCGTCCTCTCCTCTGCTGCCAAGAGGAACAGCTCCCTGCCCTCCTCTAAGTGACAGCCCTTCAGATGGTTCAAGAAAGCCATCCTGTCCCCCCTTCAACCTCCTCCAGACTGAACGTGCGCAAGTCCCTCAACCTTTCCTCACAGGGCTTGGTCTCCAGGCCCCCGATCATCCCCGTCACTCTCCTCTGCACCTGCTCCATTCTGCCCACATCCTTTCTGAAGTGAGGCCTCTGGAACTGCACACAATACTCCAGGTGCGGCCTGACCAATGCAGTGCACAGCGGGACTATGACATCTTGCAATCTAGATGTTACTCCTGATCATCTACTGCCTGGTCCTCTTTAACTGGAGATGCCGGGGAATGAACCTGGGATCTTCGGCATGCCAAGCAGATGCTCTACCACAGAGAGACCCTTTCTAGCTGTCTCCCCAAGTGCAAACATTTCTAGGGCAGAGAGCAGATGCCTCAATAGTTTTTGAGCCCAGCAGACCTGGAGCCTCTTACGCACCCCCCTCCTGGTCAACCTGGCTCAGGTTTGAGGCAAGAGTACCTGGGTTCGAATCTTCACTCAGGCCATGAAGCTAAATGAGTGACCTCGGACCATGCACCTGCCTCACAGGGTTGTTGTGAGGAGGGAAAACGGGATAATTCCAGGCACGTCCTAAGCTCCTTGGAGGAAGGATGGGGTATAAATATAAGGAATGGTTCTCTCCTGTAGAAATCTGCCTCACACAGCTAGAAGAGGAAAAGAGGGCTTGGTGGTATGTGTGTTAAGGGCAGGAAACTGCTGAGGAAAATCTTTTTTTGGAGTATTTTTTATATGTGCGTGTGTGCATGCGCGCACCTGGAAGTCATGGCGACCTCTGGTGACTGACACCCCCCCAGGAGCCTGGAGGATATTCAGAGAGGTGGCTGAATAAAGCCTGCCCCCGCCTCTCAGCCTCTGGTATTCCAAGGAGGTCTCCCATCCAAGTACTTAGCAGAGTCGACCCTGCTTCGCTTCCTGGATCTAACAAGATCGGGCTTGCCTGGCCTATCCAGGTCAGAGCTGAGGAAAATCATTTTGAAAGGAGAAAACCAGGATTCTTGCAGCAGGGTCAGGTGAAAGGCCAGGCACCCGTGCTCTCGTTCCTCAGTCTCACCTACCTCGCAGGGTTGTTGTGAAAATAAAATACACAGTAACAGCACATGGGAGAACACAAAGGACAGATGGAAACTGGCACAGCCACACAAGGAGT